TTTTATATTATCATGTATATTAATGTACTGTCTTTGAAAGTATTGCTTTTTTTTAGTAATTTTTTAAATTTGATATATATATATATATATATATATATATATATATATATATATATATATATATATATATATATATATATATATATATATATATATATATATATATATATATATATATATATATATATATATATATATATATATATATATATATATATATATATATATATATATAAAATAAGACTTTGGATACATGTAGGTACATTATTAAAAACTTGAAAACTAGCAAATGATGTATCCGCCTGAGTCAAATCGCGAGCAACTTTATTGTCTTGTCTTTTAACGAACTTAACATAAGAGTTTCTAAAAAGAATGGCTAACAAGTGGTTACATTCCTTCGAGATAGCACCGAAATTCAAATCATTAGGATTCTGAATATTCACACTATCTACTACACTTTTAGCATCAAGCTTAAAGTCCATATTGTCCAGGCCTAACTCGTGAATCCACTTGATAGAATACAAAAGGGCTAAAGCTTCACCCACATCTACTTTAGTATTAGGCGAGAACCACATTGTACGGACAACCACAAACACCCCTTTATCATCTCTAATACAAGAATCTATTCCAACTTTGTTGTTTAAGAAGGAAGCATCGATGTTGCATTTAAACCACCTAGATGAAGGCTTACTCCACTTGGAATCATGCTCTACTTGATTTTGGACAGTAAGACTCGATCTGATCTTGGGCATTTCTCCAACCTGACAGTAAATGAGAAGCACAATGACAAATAGAATCTGGGGACTCTTCATTGTGGTTCCTAATAAAATTATTCATACATTTTCAGATACTCCATAATGCAGCTAAGAATACCGCTTGTTGATCTTGATTTGAACCCTGTAAAAAAGAATAGATTACAGTAGCAAAGTCATCCTCGTTACAGAATATTTGTTGTATCTTAGTCCACAAACCCACTTGTCTCCAACACTCAATGCTCTTAGAACACTGCAGAAACAAATGGACATAATTCTCCTCTCCCTCCCCACAAACACCACAACTAGTAAGGCAATCAATACATTTGTCTTTTAATCTCATTCTAGTTGGCACACAATTCATGCACAGATGTCACACAAAAATTTTAATCTTAGGAGGAATCTTCATATTCCAAATTAAATTCCACCTCTTATCAATTCTTAGATGGGAGATATATGTGGCTTATTTTATGCAGAAACGATAAGCACTACGCGCAGAAAATCTACCATTCTTCTCCAACTTCCAAAATAACTTATCCTCATGAACCGACTTAAATAATAGAGTATTGAGAACATTAGGAGCCTATCCCTCTCCTAAAAGATAATAAATCAGATTGGAAATCCAATGTTTGTCATTAGTACTCAATAAGTTTGAAACTTTGAGATTAGCCACCTCCGGGTATTTCGGCCAAGGGTTGACTAGAACCGAATTATCATGGAGCCACTTTTGTCCCTAAACCGAAATAGTCTCTCCCAAACCGATACTCCATTTATACCCTTATCGCACCACAAACTTCTCACTTCAGATACTTCGCCACACATAACTTGGATTATGCCCGATATGAACCAAGGAAATCACATTTGGGGAAGTACCTTGCCTTGTAGAGACGAGTAAACAAGTTGTGGGGTTTAGTCATAAAATTCCAAGCTTGTTTACTCAGCGTAACATAATTGAAAACACTCAAATTTTTGAAACTCATTCCTCAATCAGTTTTGGGCATAGACAAACGATCCCACGAAAGCCAATGGATGCCTCTGCCCCGATCTCGCTTATGACCTCACCAAAAAGAATTCAACATTTTCTCAATCTCATTGCTCAAAAAGGAAGGAAACAAAATTATACTCATAATATAGGAGGGGATAGCTTGAAGAACAAATTTAATGAGATTTTTCCTTTTCACTTGAGATAAACTCCCATTACTCTAAGTATTAATCTTTTTCCAAATTCTATCTTTAACAAACTTGAAAATAGCTTTCCTACTTCTTCCTACCATAGATGGCACACCTAGATAATTACCTGTTCCCAACACCTGTTGAACTCCTAGAGCATCAACCATAGCATTCTTAATAATCAAATCAACATTCCTACTACAAAAGACTTCAGATTTTTGGAAGTTAATGGCTTGTCCCGAAGCTTCCTCATACGTGTTAAGAAATCCTTCATCACATTAGATTCTTGCACAGCCACTCTAAAGAAAAGAAAGCAATCATCGGCAAATAGAAGATGAGATATGACGCGAGCATTCTTACAAATTTTTATCCCGTGGATATCCTTCCTGACTTTGGCTTACTTGATGAGTGTTGATAACCCTTCAGAACATAGAATAAATAAATACTGAGATAAAGGGCCCCCTGCCTCAAACCCCTCCCTAGAACAAATCATCCCTACCATGTTATCATTCATGCACGCATAATAGTCAACGGTTTCCACACATAATATGATCCACCCTACCCATTTTTTACTGAAACCCATAATAATAAGAACATCCTTCAGATAATCCCAATCAATTATGTCATAAGCTTTGCTAATATCCAACTTGAGAGCTATATCCTCTTACCTACCTTTAGTTTTAGTATTCATATAATGAACCACCTCAATAGCTGCCATGGCATTATCCATAATAGATCGACCAGGGACAAGAGTCGATTGATTATCCGAAATACACTTATTCAGAACTCTCTTAAGACAATTAGCTAGAACTTTTGCTATCACTTTATACAACACATTACACAAAGTAATCGGTCTCCAATCTTTTAGGGAAGTTTGAACTTCTCCTTTATTAATAAAAGTTATATTAGTCGAATTAAAACTAGATGGGAAAACACCATTCTTCAATAAAGAACAACTGACATTAAAAATTTCAATCCTACAAGTATCCCAAAATTGATAATAAAACCCTGGATTAAAATCATATGGTCCCAGACTCGTCATCTTGCATAGAAAAAACTGTTTTTTTTTTTTAAATTTCTCCAAAATAAATGGAGTTGTTAACATATCATTATCCTCCTCTGAAATGGAGGGTCCAATTGCCTGTGAGACCCGATTACGAGAACTAATCTTTTTTCTAAAATAAATTCGTAAAATAATCAAGAGCAGTTTTACACATTCCTTCCGTCGAAGTACTCACCTCTCCATTATCATTAGAAAGAGAGAGAATAATGTTGACTTTTTTTTCTAGTAGAAACTGAAATATGAAAGAATCTAGTATTGAGATCTCCATCTTTAAACCGGTAAACTTTGACTTTTTACTTCCAGAACATGTCTTCTTTGATCAAAAGAGAATTCATACGTCTTTTAAGGACCGAAAAATAATTAATATTTCCTATTCCTACATGATGTTGAACTCTATCAATCTTATCAATCTTTCTACTTATGTTCAAATTCCTTTTATGATCTTATGACAATTATCTTTATTCCACTTTAACATGCTTTCACCTAGAGCTGGCAAAATGGGCTACCCGGCCCGTGACGGGCTCGGACTTTGTTCGGGCCGGGCTAAAAAGCACGGATTATAAACGGGCCACAATTTGATTGGCCAAACCCGGCCCTTCACGGACTACGGTTTTTCGGGCCGGTCCGGTTTATATTTATAATTTTATTTTTTTAAAATTAAAAATAAGTGTTGCATTTAAAAAAAATAATATAATACTATTAGTATACTGTACACACCATACTTTAATTTTATCATAGCGTCAAATTACAACAGTATGACATATCACATAGAAAATGCACCAGTATGACATTTCATTTCACTTAGAAAATAATAATAATGTTATACACACCAAAATATAACTTATAACATTTTTCTTGGTGCATTGTTTGTCTTTTTTCGTTTGAATAAGGATTTAAAACAAAGTAAAATTCTCAATGATAACATTAAGTTTTACAAATTAAATTAACAATAAGGTCTAAAATTCATTAAAAAAACTAAGCGGGCTACCCGCTACCCGGTCGGGCTAGCCCGGTTAAATATCGGACTTTTAACGGTTCGGACTTAAAAGCCCGGATATTAAATGGGCCTTATTTTTTTGTTCAAGCCCAAATTTTTTGGCGGGCTTTCGGGCCGGCCCAACTTTCACCACAAAGTTCCAATTTACCAACAATATATCCATCTCATTTTTGTGCCATTATTCAATAACAAAGTCCTGAAAACCGGTTCAATTAACCAATCATTTTATAAAATCCTCTGCACATTTTAATATTCATTAATTATTTTTCACACATACTAATATATTTCCTAATCACATAATATGCATTTGATACTTTTATATAAATATTAAATAATTCTCTTCTTTAAGAATAAATTTGTAAAATTAAATAAATAATCAACAAAATTAATACTTGAAAGAATTTTTGATTCATGTAATTTACTCTAAGAGAATTTTATATTTAGGGACGGAATTACCACTATACTATTAATAGAGAAAAGCAAGTAAAATACTAGGAGTAGTAGAGAAACAAAATTCAGAACCACCATTTCCTAAGCATGTATTTTAACTAGTTACTAATTGAAAATTGAAGTTATAAATATTTTAATTATTTGATTCAACCATGCACCATTGACCAAATTGAATAAGAATGTACATCCATCGAATGACTCTAGAATCTCAAATCTCAATGTATATCCAAATTCTTAATAGTATTTTTTTCAGTGTTTGATATATATAATTCATCTAATCACGGTTTTTCCAATTGATTCACCGACTCAACATATTTTAACTTCATATTTATTGTTCAATCTGTTTTTACATAAATGAATCAGTCTACTAGGGTCCATTCCATAGCGTCCTTTTTCTCATTTCAGGTTTCACCAGTTTATCTTTGGTGAATCCTTATCTTTTTGTTCACATTAATTGACCATAACATAAACTTTTTCTATCTCTCCTTCTTTTTCTGCATATTCTCTTATATATTCTCTGTCTGTATACTCACAAACCCTTCAAAGTTTTGCAACACAAAAGGAGAGAATGAGAATAACTAAACTAGCCAAACAAGTTTTGCTACTTCTCGCCATTACCTTTACTACTCAACTAATACAGGGTCATAGTTATAGTTTCAATTGTATTTTATAGCAAGTTTTTTTTCTCTGTTTTACTGTAAGCTCATCATTGTATTGTTGCAACTTGCAGGTATTAGGACAGAAGATTTGGTGTCTCACAAGTCCTCTCAAACCTTTACAGAACAAAGTTTAAAGGTAAACCAAATGCAAATATTATCAAATTATAATTTCTTGGAGCACTTAAGTTTATGTATTGAATATGTGAAATCATAGGGTAGCAATGTGGCAATGAGAATGATGAATTCTAGGAGATTAATGATTGGATCCATAACACCAACCTGCACTTACAATGAATGTAGAGGATGTAAGTACAACTGTAGGGCGGAGCAGGTACCTGTAGTGGGAAATGATCCGGTCAATAGTCCATACCACTACAGATGTGTTTGTCATAGAGGATAGACTATGTAGCACGACGCTTCGGGTTGTAAACTTGTCCGTGTATTCGACCTGTGTTCGGTCAGATTACCGATGAGTCCGCCTATGTCGTATCTGATGCCTGTATCTATCTGTGTCATTAATTCATTGAAGATAGCAATACATAGGCTATAGGACAGTGTAATCTTTGGTTATAGCAGGTGCTGGTTTTTAGTCATCCAAAAATTGAATCTTTGCTTTACTAGAATTCTTCTTTCCAATTTTAGAATCAGTTTAAAGTTTAGAGTGCATGTGCTTAAAACAGCTCAAACTTTGCATTTCTTACATTGCCATTCAATTAATGATGAGAAAACAACTAATTTAAATTAATCCTTTGTTGTTTCATATTATGTTATAAATGATAATGGATAATAGTATTATTTGTAAGAAATTAAGTTTTAAACACCGGACACGATAAGATACTGTCAAGAATAGAATTCAAAGTTGTGGAGACATTAAAAACTTTGATTGTGTGGTTAAAATTGGTTAATACGCTCGAAATAACTAGGTGTCTATACCATAGTATCAAAATATTTCATTTATTGATAATTATATCAATCGCAAATCTAACTTTATCTCTAAAAAAATCACCGCGGCGCACCTTTTCTTAAAACCCTAATATGAAATGCTAGAACAATTGACATTTTCCAATTAGTATATTATGTATGCAACCCAATGCCATTTGAAAGCATTAGTACTTTAGAGGGAGGAAAAAGGTGTGTGATTTTCACTCATTTGAATGATTGAGGAAATGATAATGTAACAAGCACGAGTATTGTAAGTGATTAAAAACACTGATTTTGAAGGAGGGGATGAGCTATTACTACAAAGTCATTTCAATTTCAATTTCACAAGATAGAAAATGTGAGGTTAGTTACTTGTGGGCACATGAAAGTGGTCCTATTTCTAGACATGAACAAAACCAAAAGATCACATGACTATCTTGTTTGAATTTCACATTTTCACTAAATGGCAAAACCAGAACTAACACAGGGCATATCAAGCACACAAGGAGGGAGGTCCCATTTGAAACATTAGGTATCGTAATTTGGCATGTACTTGACATACTAGATACGCTCAGAGACAACAAACACAACACTCCATGTATTAACATTGATAAATATCTACAAAAAATTCCTTGAATGTAATCAGATATGTTAGTACCATATCAGACATTGACATGTGTCACACCCGACGCTCTTTATATGAGAATGTGGTGTAATCTTTTGTTGTTTCATATTATGTTATGAATGATAATGTATAATAATATTATTTGTAAGAAATTAAGTTTTAAACACCGAGAACGATGAGAATTATATATATATATATATATATATATATATATATATATATATATATATATATATATATATATTTTAAGAGTAAGTGTTTTTAACTTATTCTATGTAATAGTCTTTAAATTGAATCTAATTTAGTAGTTAAATTAACATTTTTATTTATAATTGTTTGATTAATTCTAATTTAAAGCTACAATTATAGAGTTAAGTTAAAAATAATTTATTTTTCGAATAAGCAGATCCTCTCATATTTTATCAATTTAGTGCAACTACCTTGGACTAGAGACTTTAATTTTATTTTGCTTCTTTCAAACCTAAATAAATTATACAAATAAAACCGCTTTGGTATGTTCTAGCAAAATATGCTTTTCTATATTGCAATTTGCCAGCTATTATGTTTCCGTGTGGTGTTTTTGTAGATGTAGACTATCCTTTTAAATATAATACTTATTTTATTACTACTAAAAAACTTAGAAGAAAAAAAGGGACACATAAATCAATTTCATGCAACATAAACTCACTTAAATTAAAAATAAATCTCGTATTCTTTCTTGGTTATACTTATGATATATAGAGAAAATCTTTGTGAAGTGTGATTCTTCATCAACATTATTGTCAAACTACTCTCGGGAGAAACAGTTGTTATTTAGGTCATCTCTTCTTAATATTATAATGTACTGTTGTTCGACATGGAAACAAGAACTCATTCGAAATTTAAGGCAGAAATCAATTTGAACTAGAAAGAACTTCACAAGGTTTGTATTAATTTAATTGAATTTCAATCATATTTTTCCTTATATACAATTATTCACTGTGCATACATGTAATAAATTGATATGCTTATATTACACAATGAGTGTCATGTTTTCCTCCTGCCATAATGATTAGAATAGAAATAGCCTCAGAGCAAACTTGAATCTTAGCCAAAAGTTAATTAGTTGTTGGCCTTGCCATAGCTTCTTGGAAAAGGGATAACATCCCTAACATTGCTAAGACCTGTTATAAAAAGGACCATAAGGTCGAAGTTTAAAGTGAACCCGGCGTGCTTGACTGTTCCATTTCGACAAAGATCCAAGTACCATTCATACTTCTCTCGTGGCAAACCCAACTCAGTAACTCTGCAATACAGTAAAGAAGCAGCATAAGGGTTATTTCATATTTTAAGAAAATAGGTACCATTATATATCAGTAATTTTCTTTTAAAGATTCATTAATTGCTTGATTAGAAATCAGAAGGTGGCATATGCAGGAAGAAGACAGTAACAAACTAAGGGAATAGTAAACATGCAGTACCTCGAGCTTATCATGGTGAGACGCTCCTCATTTTGGCTGCCAGAAATTATAGTTCCAACCTACAAAGATTTTTCAAAACTTTAACACCGAACACCATACTGTCACGGTCCACACACAACCCTACAATTGCAGTCACTTTTGGTCATACCTTTGGGACAACGAGATCAAATGCAGCAACAGTTTTATCATCGATAACTCTAACATAGAATGACTTAGCTTCTTTTGGATAGCTGTGAATTATAATTGGCTGCTTGTAGATGGCATCGGCCAGATAGCTGCCATGAAACAAACATAATCGTAACTCTGGTAAGTAACTAGAACTGGCTAAGGCATTACATCTCCTGTTTAAAATTTTAAAAAAATTAGAATATGGCTATACTATCCATATACCTTATGTGATCTGAAGTGAGTCTAGCACCCGAATCGAACTTTGCTTCAGATTTCTTATCTTCAGCCTGAGAAGACAACCATTAACACGCATAAACAAACATATTTGTTATCTTTGAAATTAAAAGAAAAATGGGTGGCAAAATTCAAAACATTACATTCTGGAGCATTTGGTGAAATACCTACCTTTCTAAGAACGTCTAAAGCTTCATTATAGGAAATTATTTGAGGGGAACCAGATATAATTTGCCGAAGACGATCAATGCAAGTGTTGTCAATTCTTTTGCCAACAAACCTCACATCATCAACATGATTTTCCAAAACACACTTACATAGGTACTTAAACAAGTCAGTAGCACAGTTCATGGAATCCTGTAAGTATCACAATATACATAGAAAAACCTTCAAATCAGAACACAAGAAATGATTTATAAATTTCCAAAATTTCTCATATACAGTAATTTTGCAGAGGGAAAAAGTAATACCTTCAATTCAGAAAAAGCCATTTCAGCCTCAACCATCCACATTTCTGCAGCATGTTTAGCAGAATCTGTTTTTTCTGCTTGAAATCTTGGTCCAAACGAGTACACATTACCAAGAGCAGATGCGAAACTCTCGAGATGTAAGCGACCGGAAACAGTCAAATAAGTTCGGGTAGAGAAAAAATCTTCAGAAGAGTCTACTCTATCATGCTTCAATAAAGTTCCGAATTTTTTCTTTTCTCTTGCTTCCAATTGTGATGCCAGTTCATCAGTTTTCTGCAGATCCCGAATTGCTGCTGCCAGAGCTTCCTTATTGCTTTCGCTTCTTTTTAAAGTTTCAACTAGTTTGTTTTTCTCTTTGACAGCTTCCTTCATAGTTTCAAGGTTAACACTTTCAGTCTCATAAATGGTACTCAGCTTCTCCTTGTCTGGTTTCTGTTTCCCGGTAGTTGTAACCTGGAACATGTTGCTAAATCCTTCGGAGTCTGTAGTTGTTATAGTCGGTACTTGCACATCAAAAAATGCATGATCCTTGAAAAATGAGTGAGTTGCAAACGACAAAGCACTGCGAACTCGCATGACAGTTGCCACCTATTATAAGAGCCAAGCATCACTGAATTAAAGAACTGGAACGCTTCAAACATGTATCAACTCATACAATTTATATACATCAAAAACAAGCCTCTATATTGCTGCATTTAGAAAGCATCAAATATTGATTCCAAAATTTACCCCGAATCATACCAATTATCAAAATCGTTCCTAGGCATTAAAGTTACACGTTCACAATACAAATTGAACTCCACTAGAATGTTGTTACAAGTGGCTATAAATAAGAATATGGGGTAAGGTTCAACGTCAAGAAGAACCAAATAATGAAAAAGTGGCTTGTCCGAAAAGTAAAATGCAGCGCTTAATTATAAGCAAATCTAACGTGGAAACATGGATAACATTCAAGTTTTAGCCATACCAACAAATAATAAGATTGTAGAATGAGAAAACATCAAAATTGATACTAGTATATAATTTCACCGTAGTTGTTCGGGGCCGAAAATGGGCGTAATCTCTTAACATATCCAATGGAACTCGCTTCTTTGATAACGGATACTTCCCAACGTCTACTGTCCCAATGTGAAGAACTTTGTCAGCCTTCAACTGAATAGCATGCTTCCCTTCTGCAGATGGCTGCTCTAACCGACCTTCAACTATTATACAGGTTCCGGTAGCCAAAAGACGGCTAGGTGTAGCTATTGAGGATTCAACCACAACCTACATGTTTGAAATAACAATGAGAAACTTGAAATCAAATCATATTTTGAAAACCTTCAGCTTATACAAACACATAAACATGCCATAAAATTCTCAATTTCTCACGCCAAAACGTGCAATTACATATTTCATTTCCTGAATCCTGACATGTTAATAAGCTATTTTCAGCTCATTTCTATAAGTTCTCTAATGATCACTTATGAAAATTGATAAAAATTGTTTAATATATAAGCACTTATGTGTGATATGTAAACAA